CCAGTGTAGTGATCTTTTGTTTAAAAAAAAAATCCGTAGTAGTGCTGGGGAGATAGCTCAGTGGCATCAGCACTGCCTGGCAAGTGCAAGGTCCTGAGTTTGATCCTTGGTACAGAGAAAAAAAAACATCCGTAGTAAAACATGAGATGAGATATAAAAAATGATGCAAGTTTAAACAGTATATTATGATAAAAGACACTGTCATTAATCCCACTCGGAACGCTCCCTTGTGCTTCAAGTACACTTACCACTCAGTCTCCCATTCGGAGGGCCTCCTTTTAAGTGTCTTCAGCTGTGCTCATGTGGCTGGATTGATTCAAAATATTCACCTTTCATGGTCACTTTTGACTTTGGGAAAGAGATAGAAGTTGTACCAGGCCACAGATTGTCATGAGTAAGGTGGATGAGGACACACGGAAGTTTTTACAAGACTCCCTTTCCACTGGATGGCACGTGGTGTGCCTTATACAGACACTGATGAAAGAGGAATTCCAGAACCACTCTAGAAAGTTTCAAGAATGATGGGATAAGTGTGTTCAAAGCGAGGGGGAGTGATGTCAAGGGGATTCATGGTGATGTCTTCTATAAAATTTTAAAAACATAAAGTATTCACCATAAATTCTGATGTATTAACTTAAAAATTATTAACTGTTTTTGTTTTTGAGACAGGCTCTTGCTGTGCAGTTCATGCTGGCCATGAACTCGCTGTATAGCCCAGGCTGGCCTTCAACACACAGCAGTCCACTCCTGCCTCAGCCTCCTGAGTGCTGGGACTGCAGGTGTCCACCACCACACCTGGCAGCTTTAATCATTTTTAGGTGCACAGTTTAGTGGCGTTAAGCTCATCCCCAGTGATGTGCTATGTCACCATCTCCAGGATTGTCATTCATGTCCAGGACTTTTTCATTGTCCTCAACAGAAGCTCTGTGCCCACTTTTGGGCTTGCTTTGGATTTGGTGCTGGCAAGGGCTGGCCTGGCCCAAAAGCTCCCTCTCCTCTCCCCTCTCCTCTCTTCCTGAAGGTGTGTATTTATGCGGCTGGCCACCATCTGTGTGCTGGTATTCACACTGGGCTCCAAGATCACATCCTGTGATGACACCGCTTGTGAACTCTGTGGCTACAACCAGAAACTCTACCCAGTAAGCCTTTGGGGTGGCATCCTGCTGGGCAGAGGGGGCATCTAGTGATAACATCAATGTGAAGATGGCTTGGGTTTGGTTCTCAGTTGTACCTCTTTGAGCTTAGCTAGGAGGTGGGCCTGGCCTGGATGCCAAAGTCTGTGCTGGAGCTCAGGCACCAGGATCTGGAGATGGGAAGGGATCCATCTGGGTGCCTGGCTTCCCTTGCCCAAAGGAAGGGTCTCTTGTTGCCTCTCACCCTCTCTGGTTTCAGTGCTGGGAGACCCAGGTTGGGCAGGAAATGTACAAGCTGATGATCTTCGACTTCATCATCATCTTGGCTGTGACGCTGTTTGTGGATTTCCCTAGAAAGTAAGTATAGGGGGCTCCCGCTAACCTCTCACCTTCTGACTGGAGGCTCCCATCATAACCACGCTCCACAAAGTACTCCATGGCTCCTCAGTCCCTAGGAAACCACTGATAACTGAGCCATACATGTCCCCTGAGCCGTGCCACTGAGCCACAGGTGCCCTGTCTGAAGATGGGTGCAGAGCAGGCACTGTGCTGCTTCCCGTACAGCTTCTTGGAGATTACTTGCTGCCATCTGCACAGCCGTGCCAGTACCAGTGTGGCCCGCCAGGCTGCAGCGGAGGCTGCGTTTCCTGAACTGGTTCAGGCCCCGGCAATGCCCCTTGCTAGTCACGTGACCTTGGGCAAGCGCTTAGCTTTTCCTTGGATGAAACCGTCTCGCAGCTTTGTGAGAATTAAAATAGAGATTGCAGATAGAAGCACTGAGCACACTCCATGGCGCACAGCTCAACAACACATTACTGGTCCCCAGTGTAACTGTCATGACTGTGTTACTGTTTTTATTTTTGTCTGTTACCTTAACGTTTTTACCCACACATGCAGATAATCCAGGCATGTGCCTGGATTTAACATTATTAATATTAGAAACAAACATCAAGTAGAAACTTAAAAATCAGACCCACATGTATAAATACCACATTGTTTCTCCGGTGTGAGAAACTGTAAGTGTAAATAAGGATCAAAATGTGTGTTAAGTATCGTGAAGTAGGAAGAAGATGGTTTTCCTTATGTTATTTTAAAAAACCTAAAACCTGGGCTGGCGAGATAGCTCTGCAGACTAAGTGCCTGCTTTGGCAAGTGCAGGGACCGGGGTTCAATCCCTGATCCCACATGCCACACCAGCCCCACCCCCAGGGCATGCTGAGCAATTGACAGAGTCCAGGTGTGGTGGCACACACCTGTAATCCCAGTGCTGGAGAGGCTGAAAACAGGAGGATCACTAGGAGTCCGAGCTGTGTAGTGAGATCCTCTACCAAATACATAAATGAAAGAAAAAAAAAAAAAAGAAAGCTTAAAAGAAATATGAAAAAAAGAACTAAAAATACACAAATATGATATAAATAGGTGCTAGTTAAAATTTTTATTGGTTTTGTTTGTTTTTTTGTTTTTGGTGGTACCAGGGATCAAACTCAGGACTTTGTGCTTGCCAGGCAAGCACTTACACCACTGAGCTATCTCACCAGCCCCTAAAAGTTTTATTTTTTATTTTTTTATTAACTTTATTGAGAAACGAGATTACTTTTTAATTATTTTTTTGTATTTTAGGGAAGGGTCTACAGGGTATTCAGGGTCTCACTACTAGATGGGACTTGTAGTGATTCTCCTATTTACAGCCTCCCAAGTGCTGGGATTATAGGCATGTGCCACCATGCCCAATCTCAATTGCTGTTTCAGCACACCCCAGGGGTGGTGCCGGCAAGGCAAGCCTGGGGATTGAACCTCCAGCCCCTGCGCCTGCTTGTAGGCGCTTTAATCTGCTGAGCTATTTGGCTGGCTAAAAGTTTTAAATATGTAGAATTTAAACAGACAGCGAAGTCTGGATTGTGGTGTGAGTTCTCGTCTGTGGCAGCGTCCCCGGCTAGCCAGCCCATGCCATTCCTCACAGGCAAGCATCACTAACACGTTGGGAGAACTCACACAGTCTGTAAATACTGTGTAAAGACAGGAGCTGTACACTGTGGTGCCCACCTGTAATCCCTGCACTCTAGGAGACTGAGGCAGGAGGACTGCAAATTCAAGCCCAGTCCAGGTAACGTAGTGAAACTTTTAAAGTGAAAAGTAGAAAAGGGCTGGCAATGTCGCCTAGTGTGAAGGCACTGAGTTGAATCCCCAGTTCTTCAAAACAAAAAATGTATACACACACATCTACACAAGTACACAGGTAGGAGACACCCTGTCCTATTGGACATGTTCTTTGCCTTTGGTGAGATCAGGGCACATCCACGTGGGTCTGTAGGGTGCTTCCCGCCCACCCCCATGAAATAAAACATGGCTGACAGCTTCCCATATCACGGCACATGGGTTTTCCTCATCCATCTTAGGACAGTTTCCTATGTCCATGGCTTATTACTTAGCCATCCAGCCCCAACTGATGGTGTTTAGTTTGTTTCGGTACTTTGCTAATCTGTGGCAATGCTGCTGTGAGATTTCTCTCGGGCCTCTTGCCCTAGGATTTCTGTAGGAAGCTTTTAGAATACTGAGAAGTGACACTGGTAGGTGGTAGGGTCCCTAAACTATATGCTGTGTGGTTGCACGGTACTTCTTGTGCCGAGTGGCAGGCCAGTGATACAGAGATCTCTGGCTTCATTTATGCTAGTCACAACTCTGTGAAGTGGGTTATATTATAATCCCCCTTTTACCAGTGAGAACAGTGAAGTTCAAAGAAATCAAAGAACTTGTAGATTTGGATGTTAAGTGGTGGATCTAAGGCTCCAACCCTGGTTGTAGTGATCCGGAGGCCACTATACTTTTGTAAGACGCGTTTCCCTGGAAATGGTCTTACTTGGTGGTGAGGTCCTGCAGCCTGGGCAGACACCTGGACCCAGGAAAGAATGGACTGGTCTGTTTCCAGACTCCTGGTGACCTACTGCTCTTCCTGGAAGCTGATCCAGTGCTGGGGACAGCAGGAGTTCGCCATCCCAGATAACGTCCTGGGGATCGTGTATGGGCAAACCATTTGCTGGATCGGAGCCTTTTTCTCACCGCTTCTACCTGCAATTGCAACCGTGAAATTCATTATCATCTTTTATGTGAAAGAGGTAAGAGCTGAGAGGAGGGGTGTGTGCTCTGGACCATCCTGGGCCATCTTCTCAGCGCCTGTCCTGCCCTATGAGGTTTATAAAGTGATGTTCCTCATTTAATGTAGATTTATTCTGGGGAAAAAAAATAGAATGGATTGTCACCAAGTTGTTGTTTTGTTTTGTTTTGTTTTGTTGTGTTGTGTTGTGTTTTTCCTAGAGATTGAATCCAAAGCTTTTACACTGAGTTCTTTTTTCATTTTAATTTTTTTTATAATTTTGAGACAGGGACTCGTTAAGTCACTAAATTACCCAAACTGGGCTTAAACTTTTCGTAATTTTTAAGGATACTGTTAAGAATTATTTTTCCTGTGAATTAAATATTGTCATCTCATGAAATATAAGAACCGAGTCTCTGTTAACAGTGGTACATTTTAGTGATGGTTTGCTTCTTCCCCTCTTCCCTCCCTCTCTCCCTTCCTCCCTACCTTCTTCTCTCCCTCTCTTTCTTCTTTCCCTCCCTTCCTATTTCTTTTGTGTGGTACTGTGGATTAAATCCAGGGGTAGTACAAAGCTGGCAAGTGCTCTACCACCAACCCCCAGCCCTTTTTATTTATTATTTTTATTCTTTTTTTTTTTTTTTTTGCCAAACCAGGGATTGAACTCAGGCCCTTGAACTTGCCAGAGAAGCATTTGTTCTACTGAGCCATCTCCCTGGCCCCTATTTTTTATTTTAAAATAGGGTCTCAGTGTGTATCTTAAACTGGGCTTGGACTGATCCTCTTGCCTCACCCTGCTAAATAGCTGGGGTCTCAGGTGTGATTCCTATTATGTAACTTTCCTTTTGGATTTTGGAGCCGGTGCAGTTACCTTCAGGTCTCAGTGATTTTTGCCTAGGGAGCCAGGTCCTTGAACAGCCTAGGCACTGTGCGAGAACTAAACACTGCGTGGGAGATGTCTGTCCACAGACTACTGGCTTCTCTGGACTCTCTCACCTGCTTCGTTTGTTACAGAGTCCATGTATGCTGATTGTTAGCATTGAATAATACAGACATGCTAACAGTAGCCCTTGGTAATAATAAGCTTGTATGATAGTGTTTACTAGAGAAACCAATACAATACAGCACAAGACGTACAAAAGTATAGGAAATTACAAGATTGGCTTACAGTGGCCACCCTCCGAGTCGGATGAGCGTCTGTCTGTCAGCACCCTAGAGCTGAAAAGTTTCAGTCTCAGGGCTGGAGCTCACTCCAGTGTCCCCTGAGGGGTCGCATCAGGAAGTTGATGGGTGTGTGATGGAGGAAGTCCAAGTGTGCAGCGGGGGAGACTGAAGAAGCAGAGCCCTCCTTCATTTCCGCTTTATTCCATCTAGGAGACAAGCCACTGTTGGGTGTGGAATTGCTGAGCCAACTGATTTTATTTTATTTTATTTATTTACTTTATTTTGTATTTTTTTGTATTTTAGGGAAGGATCTACAGGGTGTTCAGGGTTTCACCACTAGATCAGACTCGTAGTGATCCGTCGGTTTACAGCCTCCCAAGAGCTGGGATTACAGGCAAGCACCAGCACACCCAGTCTCAATTGCTGTCTCAGTGTGCCCTGGGGGTGGGGCTAGCATGGCAGGTCTGGGGATCAAACCCCCAGCCCCTGCACCTGCTTGCAAGCACTTTAATACACTGGCTATTTGGCCAGCAAATATATATTTATTTTTGTGGTACTGGGGATTGAACTCAGGACTCTGCACTTGCCAAACAGCAGGTGCTTATTCTAGTGAGCTATCTCCCCAGTCCTGCTGAGCCATTTTAGTTAAACTTAAGTTGACACAATCAACCATCACAAAGCCCAACATTTATTATGCCAAGCCTTGAGCATTCAACATTAGAAATGACAGTGTTGAAAATAATAATAGTAATAATAGCAGATAATCATACTATATATCCTGCTTTGTATAGATTATGTTGGGGGCCTGCCCATTAGCTCAGGTGTTTAAGTGCCTGCTGAAACAAAGCAGTCAACCTCAGGATGCTGTAGTTAGATCCCCTCATCCTTAAGCTGAACCAGACCTGCCCTGAAGGCATCCTGAGGGGTACCCCCCAAAAAAAATCCTTCTGCCATCTTTCCAAATAAAGATTATCATGTAGTGCTTACACCCAGCCTTGGGATAGACACCACATTTTATAAAGGAGAAAGCCTAAATTCAGAGATGTTAAGCAGCTCCTCCAGGCCACAGAGCTTGCAGGCACCCTCTGAGAGGTGAACTCACGTTTATCTCACTGGAAACCTTATCTCTTACTTGATGAGCAGGGCCTTGACTTGGGCAAAACCTGAATGTTCTGACCTTGCAAGGGTGTTAGGGCTTCACTTGGAAACTTCAGTTGGCTGAATCATCAGAGGAGAGATCCTTGTGAGAAAGCTCACAGGAGCCTCATTTCTTCCTTTCCAGAACAGTCTGGCAGCCAGTGGAAACGGCAGTGCAAATGATGAAGTCAGTTGTGGGCCCAGCCTGCCTTGGACACTCGTGCCCGCCTCCCTGGCGGCAGCCCCCAGACCAGGCACCAGGTGTCCCCTGGCTCTCGGTGTCCAGCACACAAGTTGTCCTGGCTCCTGTGGGACTCACCAGGGCTTGATGCCCTGCCAGTAATGCAGCTTTTTAAAATACTGACAAAATTTTATGGCTGTTACTTTCCCCTCTCTCCCTCCCCACTTTATATTTCCTTCGCTTCTTTTTCCCTTGATGGAGATACTTATTTTTAGTATACAAAAAATATTGTGTTGGAGCCAGGGAGATAGCGCAGTGAAATAAGTGATTGCCTGGTAAGTGCAGTGTCCTGAGTTTGATCCTTGGTACCACCCAAAGAAAAAAAAGTGTGATTGTGACGATTCAAGAAAAATACCTCTTAACTTGGTATACATTGTCATAGAACCATTTATATATATTTAAAGCCCTATAAAGAACAAATGGGGCCAGGGAGATGGCTCAGTGGAGTAAGCGCTTCCCTGGGAAACGCAAGGGCCTGAGTTCAATCCCCGGTTCTGCAAAAAAAAAAAAAAAAGAACAAATACTTAAAACTTTAAATGAGTTCACAGAGCTCTGAAATCTGCCACTGTTATTTCATGGTGCCACATGCGTAAGTGATGCTGTCTTGTCCTTTTTAAGGATGCTTAGTATTCCTTGTGCGGGTACCCTTTAACCTTTAAGGAGACCCCCACTGGTAGTTAGTTTGCTTTCAACTTTTGCCTATGAACAATAGATATCTACTTGTATGTGTCTTTTTTTGGGTGTATTTACTTATTTTTATTCATTTTAATGAGAAAAAATAAAATAGCAATGAAACAGTTTCAAAATAGGTTAGTAGGACAGTTACAATAATTAATACATTACACAGTGTTCTCTTCGTAGTAGTTATTCGGAGGACAAGATGTAGATGATATCTTGTCTAAACCTTTCTTCTCAGTGAACTAAGATAAAGTAGCTGTATATCTATCTCATCTTGTGTATACATATATATGTATTTT